CTTGGACCAAGTTCTAGCATCGTGGACATTGGGCTTTACAGCGAATTCGGTTGCTAGCACTAGCGCGCACTGAGTGCGCACTAAGGCTCGTTTGTAGTAAATTTTTATATTTAACTTTGTCTTAAATACATTTCAAACAGTATCCAGCCAAAAAGTGCTCCGTGTGGATGCCACACAGATCATTTTACTGTCTAAGAAGTATTTTAAAAGATACTTAAAACGATCCTTAAATATAAGAATTGACTGTAAGCGAGCCTTTAGTATGCACTCAGTGCGCACTAGTGCAAGCAACCAAATTCGCTGTAAGATACAGAATTGACGCCAAGGTTCGCGTTCCAAAACATTTTCTCCGAGGAAAATTTTACTCGAGAAATGGATCGGAAACGCTCAGAGCGGTTACGGAACGGCCATCGAGTAAAATATTCCTCGAAGGCGAAGATTTCGGAGCGTAACCCTGAATCGAAATGCGCGTTCCTGAGCTCATTAAAGAAAAAGTGCCGCAACCATTCTGCCCACCACTGTACGCTAGCGTGCGGACGAGGTTCTTTCGACGATCGACGACGTCGGGGCCTCCGTCGCATCACCCCGATCCCTGTCGTCTCGTTGTCTCCCGACGTCGAGCCTCGACGTCGATCGGACATTCGCATGACGTACGTCACGCTCCGCGCGGATACGGATCGATCCCCCGTCTCGTCGATTACCTCTTTGTTCCGGGAAATTGAAGGAATTTCAAATTAAAGTAAAACCGAGGCTCTCGCGAAGGCTAATGCTCGTGAAATTAGCGTAGTTAACGGGCCGCGGAGCCTGATAACATAAAAAGCGCGCGATTATCCCGATCGTAACGTATCATAATTAAAATATCGTGCGACCGCTAGGAAATAATACATAAACATAACGCATTGTAAATCAGTCTATTGATTCGGTAATCAAATTTATGGCGCGATATGTTGATAAGTATCTTATACATAAACGTATCGTATCACAAATCGGTCCGTTCTCTCGGCGATCGCACAGAACTTTAATTACAATTCACTTACTACGTTAAGAGCATAATGAGCGTGCGTTTTTTTTTGTTATTTTATCAGGCTCCGGGGCCCGTTGACTATGCTAATGGAGAAATCGCGCGTGATTTCCGCGGCCGGGATCGCGACAAAGAGATTGGCCTCGGCGTTTCATTCCGCCACTTCCGTCCCCGTCACCCCGCCCGCCAAGGTCGCGCGGAAACCGCGAATCCGCGATAGCGCCTCTTATCGCGCGGCGCGCGTCGGGTGCAACATCGGATTCTCAGTTCCACGCTGAAAACCCGCGAAATTTGCCTCTCCACAGCGCAAAAGACCCGCAGATACGACGAGCATTTGTATGTATGTACATACAAATACTGTATTTGCACTTGCCGATAAGGCAAGATAAAGCCATTTTCACGACGCGGCTCGTGTGCACACTGGGATTCACCGATGTCTTTCCACATGAATTCGTCCACATATCGACACATTTACAGCGAATTCGATTGCTTGCACTAGCGCGCACTGAGTGCACACTAAAGCCCGTTTATAGGTAATTTTTATATTTAACTTTGTCTTAAATAGATGTTCAAAGAATATTTAGCCAAAAAATTATCCGTACAAACGTTGTGCAGACCATTTTTCTGGATAAGAAATATCTCAAGAGATATTTAAGACGATCCTTAAATATAAGAATAGGGGACTTTCCTCCACATACATGGAAAATGTGTTCTACCTGCGCCTAAATTCATATGGGAAAGTATCAGTGATTTCTAGTGCAAACAGACAGGCGGGGATGCCTGGACATTTCTATAATGTGTTCTATAATTATAGAAATCTCCGGGCATTTCTGCCTGTCCGTATACAATCGTTGCTTCCGACAAAACCATCTCGTGAACAATCGAATGATTTACGATCCTCGCGACAGAGAAAATCGACGAAGCTTGAAGCGTTTCTTTCAGTCGCACATATAACATATACGTTCTATTATTAACTCTTAATTATTTTTAATTATATTCTATCATTGTTTTCTTAATTATCGTTGTAATTATTTCTGTACCTGAGAAGTCGACTGTCGCAGCTGAAATTTAGCAAATTTATACAGGAAACCCAAAGTCAACTTTTCTCAGTTAACACCTTGTAATTCTAAAGCTTCTTTAAAAATCCTTTTTTTTTTCAAAAAATAATGAAATAAACAATTAGAGCGTCCAGTTGAAAATTGATAATTTTCTTACGACAGTTTATTTTTCAGGAACATATTTATTTCGTCAACTACAAAGAAGCGAAGACCACGGAGAATAAAAGAAGACGGCGTTAAGTGAACAATACGCCGAGGACAAAGCCGACGACAGACTTGTACTCGAACTTGCTCCGCGTTCATTACGCGAACTCGACTCGAGTTTCTACGCCGCGAACGAGTCGCGTGGATCTCAGGGAGAGTCAAACCTGCGCATTTGGTCGAGCAGTGCTGGTGGCAGGGACAGTTGCAGGTGTGCTGCGACTTTCGGCGGAGAATCATCTTGGCGCTCCGATATTTATCGTATTGTCACTGAACGTTGCAACTTGCACAATACCGCCGGGCTGGCACAATCAACGCTCCGCCGCGACGCGGGGAATCATCGACCAGGCTACAGCGCGCTTCACAAGCCGGCACGGATCGTCGTCCACTTCAACGGTCCCGGCCTTCGTCCTCGCGTCTTCAACGGCTGGAGACCGCGGCGAGGCCGCTCAGGCACTACTGCAACGGCACTGCGTAGCGAGAGACATCGAACGCGACGTACAGAGTGATTCGTAGACACGGCGGCTTGGGGAAAATTCTTTAACGATGTCTGACCTCTCCCCGCCCCGGCGGGAGGAAATTGCGGTCTCAATTTTGTTATCGCAATTTGCCGAAGTGCCCGCAATCGGCGCGCGATAATTTCCAATCTAGATTTCGTCAATGTCGCGGCGGAAAGAGAAGAAACAACTAGTACATGAGGAACGAGATTGTAGCGGCCGGAATTTATGCTTTGTAATTTTGCATGAAAGCCCCGCGCCGAGGCTGCGCTTTGAGGCTCCGACTCTGTACATCGTCGCTTTCGACGTTATGCAACGAAAATTGGTACACGATACTGCGAGCGAGCTGACGGCGCGGCGCGGCAGCAGAAGTTCGCCGGCGGGAAGTTATCGTTGTAATTAAACGTTGCGCGATAATATCGGCTATTCCGATCGACGCTATGCAAGCAGGCTGATGACTACAGGTATTCTCAAATCCGGTAGAGCGCAAGAGTTCCCATTTTTGGCTAGAAGACGCCCGGATGGCAATGCATGTCTAAAGGCCTTCTATGGAATAGCTGCAAGTTGATTGATTACACATTTCTCGAAACTAGAACCTGGACCAAGAACTGGCATCGTGGACACAGGCCTTAAAACACGTCATATCTTTAAGACACTCTGTAGACGTAGTCTCTAAGTCAGTCAGTGGATTATCACTGAAAACAGTGAATGTTCACTGATTCACAGTTATAAGTATGAATTATTCAGTGCTACACTTGTAACTGTTTCCAGTGATAATCCACCGATGGACTTTTAGAGAGTACATGTCTAAAAGACAACTTAACGCCGTCTCAAAGATGTCTTTTAGACATGCATCTGGGCGGAAGGCGTCTCGATTTTTCTCGGCCCACTCGGTACATTGTCAGCTGACGTGCGGTTTACGTCAATTGATGTATTACGTATTCGTTATTCATCCTCCGCTCAGACGCCGCGAAAACCTAGCGACGGATATCCTCGAGGCGTTCGTCTCATCTTGGAGTATAACGTGAAGCGAGTCGTGGTGTGAAAGAGTAAAAAATATCGGGAGATCAAGTTGTTACGGAATCACTTCGTTTCTGCCAAGAGAACAAATTATAGACGGCAAATGTCATTTTACAAAGCGACCACTTGTGTCGAAACCACGCTGGTTGTATACTTAAAAAAATTACGATTTAAATATCAATAATAAGTGTAGCTTCCCCCACGGAAAAATATATATTTCATTATATATAAAGAAAAATAGAAAGGATACATTCGTTTTATATTACTCGTATATGCGTTATAAGAAATATATGCTACTACTATAAATGTAATACCAATAAATTGGAATTTTTCATATATCATTCACACACTGTGAGAAAAATGCTTTGATTGTATCAACAAGACATGTATGATAGAATGTATTTTGGCTAAACCAAGTAGAATTTCTAGTTAGCACGATATAGGGCTCGATATTTCATAACTAAAAGTTTGCAAAACTTTACTACACATCTGGTAAATCCTAAAGGAATTCTGATTCGTTCATTTTCTAACAGACGACTGGTTCTAACAGACGACGAATCTACCAGATTTTTTTCAGTGTATGTATTATATTAAAAATAAATAATAAAATGTGTGATATATACACATTATACTACATAGCTGTGTATATAATTATATAAGTCTAATGTATGCATTGTATATTTTATATAAAAATATAAGGAATATTACATTAGGTGTTGTAAGTATCTTAGAATTTAGGTTCTCAACGCTTTATCAGCGGAGATCAAATTGATTTCATTTGCCACAACTGTTAGATCTGATTTCTCGCCACTTCTTATATACTGCTGTTGGTTGATTTTTAAATACGAAAAAGTGTAACGTGCGATCGTCTCGCGAAGAGCGTTATTGCGAAATTATAAAAGTATAATTTAAATATTGTTCATACATTTTTAGTATATTTTTGACATATAATTATATACGATTTTTTAATAGAATTTTTATATACCAAATAATGAAATATATTAACCATATATTTTCATCTACTTTTTGAAATATATATTTTTCCGTAGGGGTTGACCTCCCTGGCACACAAGTCCCATTTGTAAAATTTAAAAGGACTCCGCGCGGTTTAGCATTTAACAAGAAAAAAATTACCTCGGCCGTGAAGGAATATTATTTTTATGCGAATTTATATACTTTTTCCGCTCAATCTGCGCGCACTAATGATTTAGATTCCCGTTTCTGGACTCGGAGAGACGAGTCGTGTGTGCGCGCACGCGAAGAGTCGTCATTGTTGCGCGACCAATTATATCTCTGTCCGCGCGCGCGTTACTCCGAGATTAATATCTCATTACGGCGCGGCGTGCGCGAGATTTCTCTGGCGCCGCTGATGACAAGACAATAGGGCGGTTCTATCGCCGTTCTATTTACAGTCGATTACATCTACCAGGCACGAGACCGACGTCCGCGTCGTTTTTACGCTCCGACAGTTTGCCACGAGGATGCGCCGGCCACGTTGCACACGATTGCACGCGCTAATATCGCGCCGCACCGAGAGCCTCTCATCAAAGTTGCACGAGGGCTCTTTTTGATCGATACCGACGTACTCGCGACGTACGTCCAGCAACCCTTCCGCGAAGGGACGCCTCCGCGCCTGCTCTTTGTCGCGCGGAACGCTCGTGGAAAAATAACGCGGCGTCGTATAAATAATCGACGTTGAATTTAACCCAGCCTTATTAACGGTAAAGTATTAATTTCAGACATCGCTTTAATGCACATTTCTACCAATGCAGGCTAACTTTAATCCCAGTTTAACGAAGTTTCTATCTCTTTCCAATTTCTGAAACTGGAAAAGGATAAAGAGTAAGTTAAACCGAGATTAAAAAGTTAATTTCCATTGATGGAGAGGGGCATAAGGACAAATAGCGATCGAAGTAAACGAAGTACGTAAAACGAGGTATGGATGAATATTGATGAGACTTTCAGGTGGAACTTTGTACTTAAAATTATTATTAAGAAATGTTACTTTATTTGTTCTAAGGTACTGCCGCTTGAAAATGATCCAACCTCGCGAGTTGGACGGCTCTCGGGTGACTTATGGTCTAATCCGAAGCTCCGCGACGATTTGCAGACGAATGTTTCGGAGAAACAAAGTTGAGAATTGAGAAATATTAAAGTATAGATGAATATATGGATGAAATTCTTAGTCGGGACTTAATATTTTATTCTTATTAAGAAATGTTTATTTAGTCCGAGACATTGCTGCTTGAAAATGATCGCGCGACTTGGCGAGTTGGACGACTCTCGGATGATTTACGGTTTAATCCGAAGCTCCACGACGATACGTGGGGGGGAGTGTTCGGAGAAACAGAGTTGAGAATTGAGAAATATTGGAGTACGATAGGGCGCGCTGATGAACAAACGCGAGTTCTAAAGTGTAAAATATTATACGCGAGGCGGACGACACACTTCCAACCCGCCCCTTTATCGCGCCCGGCGGCACTTCCGCTCATTATCACGCCCGCGAGATTTCGCCGGTTAACTTTTATCGCGCTCGGGAGATTTGCCGGTCGGTTCGCTGCGTGAAGATTATTACTCCGGCGGCAATCACGCAAATTTAACGAGCGTACATTCATCCAGATTCGTTCACGTCGCACTCCTCATTATTTCTCTCTCTCTCTCTCTCTTCTTCTTCGTCTTCTTTACCCTCTGGGACTTTTCAATCTCTGTATACACCTGACTATATCCACCAGCTTTGTTGATAAGCCGCGGTGTTATCAGCCACGAGACGATGTTCGGTGGTCAATACCTTAGCGGGACGAGTTCAGTACCGACGCTACAGCTCGTTTTACGTAACGATGCCAACGATGTTGCGTCGAGCAGATTTTGAAGCGGGCTTCGAGACAGGCGGAAATACACCTTGTTGAATTGAAACCGTCGCCTTGAAACTCGACACAGCTCAAGAAACTTCCCCAGAAATTGGATAACGTTAATATATGCTCATTTTGTTGGCGCGCACCACGTAACGCGGAAAAATTCAAAATTCTTTTTTTCACACGCAGAAAGATGCGTCTTAATATCGACGTATAGAACGAAAACGGATCAGAAATTCAGCAGCTCTTCCAAGCACCGGTGTTTACTGTTACGACATTCCCGGCAGACGTGCACCGCGCGAAAGAAGCCCGCCGGTAATTGCACGACGCCATGGTGGGAACCCTCGGCGCTACCCTGCATATTTTCCGCTGATTGCGATCTCGCCTCCAACGTACTCGTCAAGCCACGTACTATGTACTTGATAAATTCAGAAAGCCGCGGCGCCTTCCCACGAGCCCTCGCGCTCGCGCCGCCAGGTACGACGCGCTCTCCTCCGCTACCGTTAAATCCGACGCGCGATCGCTCGACTCGCCGGCCTCCCCCGGGCGACCGGTTCTCCGGAGCGCCCGGCGAACGTCGCGTAATCGCCCGACGATCCACTTGCCGGCGCGCAACTCGCACACGTGGTCGGATAAGTCGGATTGCCGCGCACCGCTCGACGTTGCACGCCGAACGAATTGAAGGACGCGCACGTATGTACCGCCGGGACGACACTGTTCACCGGAGTCTCACACGCGCGCCGACGAATTCGCAGTACGGGATCCCGCGTGCGGAGCGCGGCCGTGCACGCACACACCCGTCGACGCTCCGCGTGTGATCGATAGAAACGCCGCCGCCGCCGCCGCCGCCGACGCCGCCACCCTCTCCGCCGTCGGGATTCCCCGTCGCGACCGCACGAATGGACCCGTTGCACTCGGCGCGGGTACGGGCGCGAGGAGTGCTGTTAATCGAGGCGGCACGCTTCCTCACACGAGAACGAGGAAATGCGAGAACGCGGCCCGAAGACGCGCCATCGTCGCGGACGGACGGACGTACGGGAACCCGCGGTTCCGGCAGGTTCCACCGGTGCGTCGCGGCGGCGGCGCCGTGACGCGGCGTCGCCGCAGGGACGACCCGCTCGATCCTCGGGCCCGCGTTCCTCGACGGGGGTTGACCGGTATTCGTACACGCACAGAAAAACATTTCTGGATCCAACGCTATTACACTTGAATGTATCATAAAATAGGAAAATAGTCAATCGTGTTTATTACGGAGAAAAGAATATTTTAATCTTAAATGAAAAATTAAAAAATGTAGAATAAAATTCGAGAATCGAGTCCTAGCGAGTGCTCCTTCCCGGGGAGAACGCAGAAGTCACAATAATATCAATTTGACATCGTGCTGACCAAAATTTACGTCACGTCTCAGGCCCATTTCTACCAATGCCGATTAATTTTAATTCCGGTTCCGCTAAGTTTCTATCTGCTTCCAATTCCAGCAACTAGAATAGGATAGAAAGTAACTTAAACTGACAATGAGATTAAAGTTAATCTGCATCGGTAGACATAGACATCAGTCATGATTTCAACATGACGTCAAACTGACATTACTCCGGCCCGTATTCCGAAACGCCTTTTATCAATAAAAGCGTCTCTAAAAGTAGCTGATGAACTTTCTGATTGGCTACAAGCCACTTTTACAGGCGCTTTTATCGATCAAAGAAGATTCGTGCGGGGTCTACAATGCGAGTCTCAGAGTCGCAGACGTAAGAATAATCGAATTGGTCAATTCAGTCTAACACATAAGAATTGACCACTCATAGTCGACTATTCTTACGACTACGACTCTGAGACTCGCATTGTAGACCCCGCATCAGAATATGGGCGCCTTTGA